TAGCTTTTGTGGTTCCCGAGTTGAAAGTGCGGGACAAAATATGGGACACACACACACACACACACATACACACAGGCAACCCCGTGACAATATGCGTTTTGTAACGCTGTTACACAGCACAAAAAGCGTAAAAATAGAAGCTAAAGCCTGTTACTTGTGGTAACCAGAATAGTACAGTGCAAAACTGAATTGGAAAAGAGGACCAGTTTCATCCAAATAATGCCAAAGTAGGGAGAAAGTGAAAAAATTTAGTGGATGTTGTTGAGGATGTGCGCACTTTTCTCGAGCGGACAGAACAGCATAAGCCCAATATGGTTGAAGAAACCCGAAATTTTCTGTGGCTATTTATGATAATGGTAATGTATCATATTATTATATTTGTAGCTGTGTGGAAAATATAACGTCAAGAATTTTGTTTTCTCAAGCAGTGCAACTGTATACGGCCCACCAAAGAGCTTACCGATAAAAGAGAGCGATCAGGTGGGATGTGGGATTACAAATCCGTATGGTCAAACCAAGTACATGATCGAACGCATCCTTATGGATATAGCCAATGCTGACAAGGTAAGGAATTTAACCAGCTCAAACAGTTTTTCATTCTTCGTTAATTGCAAGTTCCGGGGACTCAATAACAAGGATTTTTTGCAAAATTATCAGCAATTAGCACACTTCTTAAACTCAGTTCAACAAAGAACTTGTTGATTTCATTTCGATTTTCTCATCCATTTAACATAACAATTTAATGAATAAAAAAAAGCAGCATTTTATAAAGTTTTTGTGATATGCAACCAATAACATTTTTGATTTTTAGAGCTGGAACATAATTCTTTTGAGATATTTCAATCCAGTGGGCGCTCACCCCAGCGGGCTTATTGGTGAAGACCCGAAGGGCATCCCAAATAACTTGATGCCGTATGTTAGCCAGGTGGCTATTGGAAAACTGCCAGTGCTGTACATATTTGGCAACAAATTCGACACTCCCGATGGCAAGTTGTTGCCTTTCATTATCATTTAGCTCAAGCTTCTCAAAAGAGAACTTCCGACTTGACAGATGTAGCAGCAAATTTGTTCGATACGCTTTGTGTTTCAGGGACTGGTATGCGTGATTACATCCACGTTGTGGACCTCGCTCGAGGACATGTAGCAGCCTTTGATCGCCTAAAAAAGCACAAAAATATCGGTTGCGAAGTGTACAATCTTGGAACAGGAAAAGCATATTCCGTGCTGGAGATGGTTGCGGCTTTGGAAAAAGCAAGCGGCCGAAAAGTATGTTTAACTGTTCATCGGTTAAGGCATTCATTGAAATTATTGCCGCTGTAGAAATCTAGCCATCCTACTAGCTGTTTAATTAGAGAGGGATTTGTAA